TCAGCAGACTCTAAAAGTGGACACAGAAGACGCATGTTCAGAGAGGAGGCGCAGACAGACGGACCTCAGCAAAGACAGCAGGTGGGCGCACAGAAAGCCCTGGGGAAGACAACCGCGGGTCTGGAATTCTGTCCCCAGTGAAAACAGTGTCCACACGTGACAGGGGAAAGCCAGCCGCCGTCATGGAAAGCAGTCTGCTAAGACATGCTCTGTGAGGGGGCTGCTCGGTCCTGAGAAGCAGGAAAGTGAGAGAAGGAAGGACTCAGGTGTGAGAAGAGGGTAAGCAGAGATGTCAGCAGACGTGGGGGTGAGTTTAAGCAAACACTGGCTGTAAAAATAAACAAGAACACACCATGAGGCCACAGAAAAACACACCCACACAGGATGGAGCTCGGGTCGACCTTTCCTGAGCTCCTCCCACTGTGCTCTGGAGGCAGGTAGAGGGCTGATCACATTTAGACAATGTTTTATTTAAAATATGTTTGAAATAGGGGCTTCCCTGGTGGCCCAGTGGTAAAGAACCTGCCTGCCAATGCGGGATACCTAGGTTCGATGCCTGGGTTGGGACGATCCCCTGGAAAAGGAAATGGCTACCCACTCCAGGATTCTTGCCTGGGAAATCCCATGGACGGAGGAGGCCAGGGGGCTACAGTCCATGGGATCACAAAGAGTCAGACACCACTGAGTGACTAACACTTTCTTTTCCTGGCACTCTCAATGCAGGGGACCCAGGTTCAATCCTTGGTCAGAGAACAAGATCCCACATGCTGCAGCTAAAAATCCCACATGCTGCAGCTAAGACTCAGAGCAGCCAAATAAATAAATAAAAATAAATATCTAAAAAAATAAATGAATAAAACAAAATATGTCTGAAATGGAGAGGGTTGTCAGTAACACAGGGAATACAGTAAATAACTCCTAAGTCAATCAAGGTTAAAAAAAAAAACAAACCTCTTAAAAACCCCATATTTGCTAGGAGGAATAGAAAGAAAGCATTAATATAGGACAGTTAAATGCAAAGAAAGGAAGGAACAAAAGTAAATATATCAGAAATCACACTGAGTCACATGGATTCCGCTCATGGGTTGATGGACAGAACCCCCAAATACGGGAGTTTTTCAGGTAGTTCTACACTAGTCACAAGAGAGAACCCCAAAACATAAGTGCACAGGAGGCTGAAAGACCCTGGCCTGGAAAAGGCACGCCAGCCAGTGTCAGGACAATGCCTAATCAAGTAAAAGGCTTTCTTTTTTTTTTTATTAATTCTTTTTATTTCTTTGGCTGCACCAGGTCTTAGTTGTGGCATGTGAGAGCTTAGTTCCCCCACCAGGAATCGAATCCAGGCCCCCTGCGTGGGGAGCACGGAGTCTCAGCCACTGGACCACCGGGAGAGTCCCAAGCAGGAGGTTCTGAACACGCTCCCTTAGTCAGTGACAGTCAAGCAGGCAAAGAGTTTGTAAGGCCACAGAGTATCTACAGCTCCGTAGGTTGTCATGAAGGGCTCACTGAGCCTGGGGAACACAGGGGGCTCTTAAACACGTCGGGGCCACTTAGGAACTGTCCCCGCATGCCAGCCAGGGGCGCCCCCACGAACGTCAGACACCAGGACCCTATGCTCAGGCCTCCTCACACCACAGGCAGAAATCAGGCTGTGCCATCGGCCACAAAAACCTGGTCATTAGGAACACTTCCACCGTTTCTAGACAACGCAGGGCCAAAGAGAAAATCAAAAGGGCAATTATAAAAATAGTTACAACTGACTAGTAATGAAAATAGCACATGTCAAAACTTGGGTTATGGAACTAAAACTTTATTTTAAAATAATGTTTAACCCAAAATGCTTGTTTTGGAAAAAAATAAAAAAAGACTAGAGATTCATGAGCAAAGTATCTATAACAGAAAGTAGAAATGGTAGAGAAAGATAATAGAGTAGAAGGAAATCAAGGTGAGAACAAAAATAGTTAATTTTTTTTCAAATTTACAAATGCTTAATTATTATAAAGCAATATAAAATAGCATTAGGTTTTTTAAGAAAAGAAAAAAGCAATTATGTTAATTTTTAAACATCTCCCTCTGTCTATGCCTGAGTATGTCTGTGTATTGCCATCACAGATACATACAGTTTAGAAATTTGCTTTAGTCACTTAACTGTACTCTTCTCATCTTATCCTAGGACTTTCAGCATTACAAATACTTTCAGGATCTAGTTTTTCTTTATTAGTGAAGCATGGTTGATTTACAGTGTTGTGATACCTTCAGGTATAGAGCAAACTAATTCAGCTATATGTGTCCATAATCTATGCTTCTTCAGATTCTTTTCCTTTATAGGTTATTATAAAATATTGAATATAGTTCCCTGTGCTATACAGTCCATCCTTGTTGATTATCTATTTTAATAAAAAAATATTTTTCAATACACAATAAAGATCAACAACACCAGAAACTGGTCTTTGCAAAGACTTAAGAAATTCACCAACTCCTGGCAAAACTGACCAGGGAAACAAAAGGGAAGAAGCAGGAATATAAACTAAGTTTAGCAGTGTATGACCCTGGGGAAGGAAATGGCAACCCACTCCAGTATTCTTGCCTGGGAAATCCCACAGACAGAGGAGGCTGGCGGGCTACAGTTCATGGGGTCGCAAAGCAGTGTGTATACAGTAGGAGCCAAACCCGCACATCGATAAACCCAGCAGTTATCAAACAGGACACCTCGGTGGAAAAGTGCCTGCCAATAAATGAGAAAAGCTTGAATTTGTGACAGTCTTGTCTTAAGAGACAGGAACAGGCCAAGGATACATCAGCCACATGAATCAGTGAGTGAAACTTCACCCTCCGGACAGTCGAGTGAGACGCACATTGCGTCACAAACAGGTTCTACCAAATGACCGAGCGATGAGTAACTCCTCACGCAACAGACCTCTCCAGCCAGTAGAAGGTGTGGGACACACCCATCACCCTCACCCCCAGGCCGGTGTGAGCCCAACATCAGAAGTGGGGCAGGGGTGTCTGGGAAAATGAAAACCACTCGACGGGCTTGTTTATGAACTAGGCATAAAAACTCCGTGAGCAGAACCAATCCAGTAATAATAGAATGTGAAAGCTGTAACCATGCTCAGGAACGCAAGGGCTATTTACATTTTAAATCAATCCTAAAGTTCACCATACTAATCAAAGGAGAAAACTTCTAGCCACTTCAACAGCTGCAGAAATACTCAATAAACTTCGACATCCACTGAAGACAAAGGGAAAATCGCTGGACTAAAAGGAACATCCCTTTATCTGACAAAAATCTACACCAAAAGTTCACAACCAGTATTTCATATAATGGTGAAATGTTAGAAGCATTACCTTGAGTGGATGTGAACAAGGTGACATTGCAGCCTATGGGGGAAGACCTTGATATTGGAAAAAATAAGAAAATGAAACTCTGACTTCAAAAAATGTCCAAAATTTAATTCCAGGTAGATTCCTAAAACTCCAATCTTGGGTTTCCCTGGTGGTTCAGATGGTAAAGAAGTCACCTGCAATGCAGGAGACCTGTGTTCAATCCCTAGGTGGGGAATATCCCCTGGAGAGGGAATGGCAACCCATTCCAGTATTCTTGCTTGGAAAGTTTCATGGACAGAGGAGCCTGGTGGGCTACAGTACATAGGTCCTCCAAGAGTCAGACCTGACTGAGCAACTAACACTTTCACTTTCAATTTTTCTAATCCAACATGCACTGAGCTTTGGACAAGAAAAGTGCAGTATTGTTTGAAATAGCGACAAAAAAGAGACAAAATGTCCAACAACCGGTAAAAGGGGATAAGTCAGTGGAGGAACCTGGTGGGCCACAGTCCATGAGGTTGCAAAGAGTCAGACACAACTGAACGAATAACACTTCCACTTCCTTGTAACTTTAGCAATGGATAAACAGAGCCATGCGCCTCACCTATGTTGTTAGCTATACCCTTTGTAGAGGTAAAAGACATCATTTTTAATCAAGGAATCTCAGGAATGGGATGGACCCTTGGGGGTCTCCCTCAAGTCTGGACGCAGGTTCAACAAGGGGAACTTGATTCAATGAGTGGCCAGTAACAGCTAATGACACCTGGACCTTACTTCAGGGGCTGACATCCAGAGGAAAACAAGAAGAAAGTCCCAAACTGGGAACAAACAGGAACCAGGAAGTGAGCATGTGCCCAGCATCACACCTGACCCTGCAGATATATAGAGGCTCCTGGCCCAGGAGGCCCCACACTGAGCACCTTCTCTCTCCACCTGCTCCTCTGACCTGCTCCACCCTCAACCACCAGAACCATGGGCTGCTCTGGCTGTTCCGGAGGCTGCGGCTCCAGCTGCTGTGTGCCCGTCTGCTGCTGTGTGCCAGCCTGCTCCTGCTCCAGCTACGGCAAAGGGGGCTGTGGCTCGTGTGGGGGCTCCAAGGGGGGCTGTGGCTCGTGCGGGGGCTCCAAGGGGGGCTGTGGCTCGTGTGGGGGCTCCAAGGGGGGCTGTGGCTCTTGTGGCTGCTCCCAGTCCAACTGCTGTGTCCCCGTTTGCTGCTCCCAGTCCAGCTGCTGCAGACCCTGTGGCTCGTGTGGGGGCTCCAAGAGGGGCTGTGGCTCATGTGGGGGGTCTAAGGGGGGCTGCGGCTCCAGCTGCTGTGTGCCTGTCTGCTGCTGTGTGCCCGCCTGCTCCTGCTCCGGCTCTGGCAAAGGGGGGTGTGGCTCGTGTGGGGGCTCCAAGGGGGGCTGTGGCTCTTGTGGCTGCTCCCAGTCCAGCTGCTGCGTCCCCGCTTGCTGCTCCCAGTCCAGCTGCTGCAGACCCTGTGGTTCGTGTGGGGGCTCCAAGGGGGGCTGTGGCTCATGTGAGGGCTCCAAGGGGGGCTGTGGATCTTGTGGCTGCTCCCAGTCCAGCTGCTGCGTCCCCGTTTGCTGCTCCCAGTCCAGCTGCTGCAGACCCTGTGGCTCGTGTGGGGGCTCCAAGGGGGGCTGTGGATCTTGTGGCTGCTCCCAGTCCAGCTGCTGCGTCCCCATTTGCTGTTCCCAGTCCAGCTGCTGCAGACCCTGTTGCTCCCAGTCCAGCTGCTGCGTCCCCATTTGCTGCCAGTGCAAGATCTAATTTTCGGTTTTATGGGGATTCTTACTAGACCCAGCACCATCCCTGGTCCGGAGTCCTGGGCTCCATTGCAGCCACCCCATCCTCCTCCCTTTCCAAGTGTGAGCATTTTTTTGACCTCCTGTCAAATGCAATGGGGGTGTATGTCCAACGATGACTTCCAAAGCCTCATTCCCAGCATCTGGAGACCCTCCCCAGCCACCTGCAGTAGTGAATGGCCAGTCCCAAGCCCTGCCCAGCTGCACCTGCTCCCGCGAGGACATCTGAGCAGACAACACAGGCTTTTCTCAGCTCTGCCCATTCTGCATCATGGCCACTCAGATCTCTCTGTCCCTTAACCTAATAAAGTCACTCGTCCCAGAACCCATTGCTGTTTGCTCTATTTGTTTGTATACAGCCCTCTGCTGGGGTGGGCAGGGTGTGTGTCAGAATTACACCTGTGGCCACGCTCATTCCTGGACCTGCTAACAGCCCACCTGCCTGAGCTGCCCATAGCGTCCTCAGCCAATGTGGATCTCCGTCTCCCAAACGCTGTGTGTGTGTTTTCTACAGCCAGCTAGCTGAGCAGCCTTGATCAAGTCACCTTTCCTCCCCGGACGCCAGTGTCCACACCCATAAGACGGGCTGCTGACAGTACCTTCCTTGCAGGAAATGCTCCGTGAACAGTAAAGCAGCTGCATGAGGTGGGACTACGCTGAGCCGGCCTGCGCTGAGCTCTGCACGCACCCCGGGTTAGTGCTGAGCTGAGCAGCGCGTTGACTGAAGCAGCCAGAGCAGAGCACAGCGCCTCCTGTGTGGCTCTGGCGCTGCGCGCCTCCTGAAAGCCCACAGCAGCCCCAGTGCACTGGCGTGAAATGGCCCGATCCCTGATCATGGTGAAGACCAAAGCCACACCCTCCCTTCGCTCAAGCCATCCTAGACCCGCTCACCCAGAGTCTCACGATGTGAGTCATAAGCCCTGTCCTGCCCTCTCGGTGTCGTCAGTGCTGACATCCGAGCCAGTCTGGGGGCAGCCACAAACCAGTCACACTTCCCTGTGTCCCCACTTGGAGCTGGGCAGCCAGGACTGAAAACCTCAAAGGCTGATGCTGAGACCACACTCCTACCCTCTGGAGTGTGAAGGTTTGTGATGGTGTGCAAAAACCAAGAGAGCAAAGCTTCTACTTCCAGAGGGGATATAACATTTATGGAAGGCCCACAATCCCATTTTGGCAACTGGAAAAGGCCAAATTAATTGCAAAACCCATAAGTCAAAACACATCAGTAAATTTTATACAAACATCATGGAGAGCAGAATGGCAGTTCCTTCAAAAACTACAAATAGAGCTACCACGTGACCCAGCAATCCCACTACTGAGCGTATGTTTTCAGAAAACCACAATTCAAAGAGATATACGCACCCCAGTGTTCATAGAAGCAATATTCACAATAGCCACAACATGGAAGCAACCTAAATGTCCATCAACAGAGGAATGGATAAAGAAGATGTGGTACATATATGCTATGCTAAGTCGCTTCAGTCATGTCCATCTCTGTGGGATGCTATGGACTGTAGCCCGCGGGGCTCCTCTGTTCAAGGGATTCTCCAGGCAAGAATACTGGAGTGGACTGCCAGGCTCTTCTCAGGGGATCCTCCCGACCCAGGGATCAAACCCACATCTCTTATGTCTCCTGCATTGGCAGGTGGGTTCTTTACCACTAGCGCCATCTGGGAAGCCCATGGTATATATATGTATATATACACACTATTCCATTGCAGTACATACTTACAGTGGAATATTATTCAGCCATAAAAGAAGAATGGAATCATGCCATTCACAGCAACATGGATGAGCCTAGAGATTATCATACTAAGTGAAGTAAGTCAGACAGAGAAAGACAAATACATGGCATCACTTACATGTAGGAGCTCCCCAAAATGATACAAATGTACTTATTTACACAACAGAAACAGACTCACAGACTTTGAAAGCAAATTTATGGTTACCAAAGGGAAAGGACTGGGGAAGGGGTAAGTCAGGAGTCAGGACTGACACATACACACGACCATATACAAGATGGGTAATTATCAAGGACTCACCGCAAAGCACACGGGGCTCTACTCAACGCTCTGTAATGGTCTCCATGGGAAGAGAGTCTGAGAAAGAGTGGGCACATGTATATGTAAGACTGGATCACTTTGCTGTCCACCTAAAATTAGCACAACACTGTAATCAGCTGTGGAGGAGGAAATGGCAACCCACGCCAGTGTCCTTGCCTGGAGAATTCCATGGACAGAGGAGCCTGGTATGCTACAGCCCAAGGGGTTGCAAAGAGTCGGACACAACTGAGCAACCAATACAAACACAAATCAACTATACTCTAATATAAAATAAAAATTAAATTTAAAATACTTAGAAAGACATTAGTAAATCTTACGTGTTTCACCACAAGTTATTCATTTATATTTTTAAGTGGGATGTATACATTAATATATATATATATATAACATCAGAGAACTGTGGAAGCAATGAGGTCCAGATGAAATAAATTCCAGAGAGGGAAAGCTCTTCTCAGATAAATGGAGCATCGATCGCTGTGTTTTCTTCCTTCAGGTGATTACCCAGTTCTGGGTGAGGGCTGGTCATCAGGATAACCCAGAAGGAGGAACTATACAAGGAAAGAAAAACCAGCAGAGCTGGTGGCAGCTAAGACCCGGTACAGCCAAATAAATAAAAATAAATATTTAAAAAAAACAGAGAAAATAGTAAAAGCAATAGGAGAAGGACACAATATCTTTGAAGGAACAATCATAAAAATGATAGTTGACTTTTAATCAGAAATGATGGGATCCAGAAGATAATGGGACAACATTTTACAGAGCTGAGAGGGAAAAAAAACCTCCCAGCTTGGAGTTTTATTCATAATGAAAATATGCTCCAAAATGTAAGTGGAATAGAGTTGTTTTCAGCTGAAAGATGATATCACTGAAAGACCTACAACACAAGAAATGCTAAAGTTCTTCGGGCTGAAGAAAAATAACTCCATGTGGGGGTATGGAGGGTCAGGAATTGAGCAAAAGATAGTGGCAAGTGTAAAAATGTTGGTAAGCACAAAAAAGCTAACTGTTTTAGACAATACACTAACATCCTGTAAGATTTTTAACATTTGCAGAAATAAAATGTAGAAGTATAAATGGAATTAAAGAGTTGTGAAGTTCTTTCCCGATTCAGGAAGTCATGAGACTTCAAGAATGTAAAATTTAATCTCCAGAATAATCATTAAAGAATAATATATGAACATATAATTCAAAAGCTAATGGAAGAGATAAACTGAATTTTTAAAATTCAGTGAATCCAAAAGAAGGCAAGAAAAAGGAATAAAGAAACAAAGAAGAGATGAAAGTAATAGAAAATAAAAACAGCAATTAAACCCAAGAATATCAGCAATTACAGTCAATGCAAATAATCTAAATACTCCAATAAAAGTCAAATGTCAGATTGGAAAATTAAAAGAATTTTCAACTTCATATTATTTACAAAAGACACACTTTCAATAATGGGACCCAGAAAGGCAGAAAGAGAAAAATGAGAAAAGGATATATTATGCAAACACTAATTTTATAGAAAATTAGTGTAGCTATATTAATATCAGACAAGGTAGTCTTTAAGACAAAACTCTTACCAGAGAGAACAAAGAGCATTTCATGATGCTAAAAGAGTCAACGAGACCAGAAAAGTAAACAATCCTAAATTTCTATTAACCAAATAACAGAGTTTCAAAATATATAAAGCAAATGTTGACAAAACTAAAAGAAGGAAAATACAAATCCACAAAGAGAATTGAGAATTTTCACTTTTATTGCAATATATCTCAGTAACTGATAGAACAAGGAGATACATCAGTAGGGAGTTAAGAGCTCTGAATGTGGTTACCCAACTTGACCTCATTGACATATATTGAAATAATACAGAGTATATGCTTTGACAGAGAGACAGAGTATATGCTTTGACACATACTCAGTAAGATATATGTTTTCAAAACCCCAAATGTTTGATAATTAAGGCATAGATTTCAAAATAACCCATAAGCCTAAGAAATCACAGTGGAAATTAGAAGATATTTTTGACTGCCTTATAATGTAAATATGACATCAAAACCTGCTGGATACAGCTAAAGCAGTGCTTAAAGGAAATCAACCCTGAATATTCACTGGAAGGACTGATGCTGAAGCTCCAGTACTTTGGCCACCTGATGTGAACAGCCAACTCATTGGAAAAGACCTTGATGCTGGGAAAGATTGAGGACAGGAGCAGAAGGCGTGTCATCCTCATGACAGAGGATGAGATGGTTGAATGGCATCACCAACTCAACGGACATGGCTTTGACCAACTCTGGGAGATGGTGATGGACAGGGGAGCCTGGCATGCTGTAGTCCATGGGGTCACAAAGAGTTGGACATGACTTAGCAACTGAACAACAAAGAAAAATCTATATAGGTCAAAACACATGTATTAGAAAAGGAGAGTAAGTGAAAATCAACTATCTAAACTTTCAAAAAACTGGAAAAAGGAAAGTAGATTGAATCTGAAATAAAGTAGAAGAAAGAAAATAATAAAATAATAAAATAAAAATAAATATTAAAAGGGAGCACAAATCAATGAAATTGAAATCAGATGTAAAACAGAGAAAATTAACATAGTCAAGTGTTTGCTCTTCATAAAGATTAACAAAATTTATAAACCACCAGCAATACTGGTCCAAAAACAGAGGAAAAGATACATTACAAATAACAGAAATGAAAAGGTGACATCACTGCACACCCTGCACACAATAAAAATACAACCAGGTACAAGAATAAATTACATGAACAATTTCAAATTTTATATGAAATAAGCAAAGTCCTGAAAAACACAACTATATCACAACTGAGATAAAAAGAAATAAAGTGTGAATGGTCCTATATCTGTTAAACAAATTGAATCTGTAACTGAAAACCTTTCCAGGAAGAAAGCAGAAGGCCA